TAGAACTGACTTTAAATTAGGTTTCTAGACTCGGGTGAAAGCTCTCGGATTATAGCGTCTTCTTTCGAAGATGACAGCACTTATGTAAGTGGTTTGAGGTATATTCATTCTTGTCTTTCAATGACTAAACATTATTTATTTTAGGTTGTGAAAGCGACAACAAAAGTGCTTCTATCAATTATCGCCAACTCTCAATCCTTTCTTACATCTTGTCCCCCATCTAATGCTCAAGACAAACTACTGGACCATCTTGTGACATCTCTGGATCTATTCCGCCATATAGACTTAATGTTGTTTGACAGCACGATACACAATGACCGTCGTTTAGCAGCATTGGAATTAGTTTGGAGTTTGGCAAGCTCGAGAAGACTAAACAGCGTAGAGTTTTTGAGGCGCTGTGGCCATGTAGGGTGTTCTTGTATCTGATTATTGTTATTAAATATTAACGATTAACTAATTAACCCTTGCTTAAAATGTCACAGTTGTTGCACATTAACAAGTTATTAAGAGATCCTAATAGGATAATTCGGGCGCGAGTAGTGGAGATCCTATCTGTCATACTCGAATGGGTGCCCGATCCTCTTCTGCTTCTGAAAGACGAGAGCAGTACGAGCAGTGAATCTAATGATTGCGTCGTTGGTAGAAGTAGGTTATGCTACTGAGATTAATGTATGTCAAGCAATGTGCAAGAATTTAATCATCTTATAGCATTTAGGTTTGTTGTAGGCGATATTGCTTTACCGTTGATAACACAAGCTGATAATCTGGACTCGGTGACCACTTCTGTAGAAGTGCTTGTTTCGCTGAATAAACTCATCTTGAAAGATTCAGCAAACAACCGAAATTACGTTTTGAAACTGTTAAACATTTTGAACTTTATACTTGATCTTGTCTTGGCAGAGCAGAAAAATGTATCTAGTCGTAAGGATGAGTTTGTAGATGTAATCAGTTCGGAAACAACCAGGGAAAAGGTAGAATTTTTTGCAATTCCTACGTAATGCATTCGTTGATGTCGTCTCATTATTTCATATATTTATTTGTATTTATCTCTTTATTATCATCGATATTGTAACTAATACTGATAGACTCTTTTGTAGCTCATCGGTTTATTAAATAATGGGAAGCGTTCTGCAGCTTATAGAAAGACTTTGGTTATCAGCCTGCTTAATGCTATTCGGGTGGTTGCCCTTGATTTCAGTGATAAAGTTTTGGTATGGCTAACAATAATTTACTTGTTACGATTATTAAATGCGTTTATAGTATCTAACGCGTTTGTTACAGTAGACGGACAATTGCTTTTCCAATACACTTATTATTATCTCAAGGCCTTCATACAACACTGATCATCGGGTACTCAAAGCTGGACTCAGCGTGATATCAATTGTTCTCTCGGCAAATAACGATGGAATTGATTATAAGACTATTACAGACAAGGTATTTTCCTAAAGTGTTACTGAACTAGTCGTAATGTATTTACGCCAATTCTGATTTTCTAGGTGATTCGCATACTTCTTGAAATACTGACCAATACGTCATCGGAGCCACGTGGAATAGCATCTGTGCTTGAGACGATAGCAACTATAACGGGAAACCCTAACGTGCGCGAATATTTGACCAATTCTTCATATGCAACTGAACTTGTTGCATGTGTGCGAGATAGGTGTAAAGACATTCGTTGGGATGTGCGTGACTCATGTCTTGAGTTTCTAAAACAATTGATAATGGTAAGAAATACGAACTTTATGAAAAGCAATGGATTAAATTGTATACTAAAAATTGGTTATTGTTGGGCTCGTTAAATTGACACACACGAATAGGTTGAAGGTTGCTCGTTGTCGCTAATGTCCGAGTTAATTGAGGAAGTGTTGATCATGCTAAGCGACCCAGAATCATACGTAAGAGCCTCCTCTTTGAGCGTTATTCAAGTGAGCATTTGGACATTAATTATCGCATAAAAATTTTGGTTGCTTTTAGCCCATTTGATTCATAATTTGTCCTACACTTTCGTTCAGGCATTGATTCGTTCTACTCTGGGATGGAACTACTTGACATCTAATAACCTGCAATACAAAATTGCATCTATGCTTCCGAAAATCTTGGACGACACAGAAACATTTGTACGGAGGGCAGTGATGGAATTATTGATCTCGCTTATAGTTGAGAGGCAATGCAAAATGATTATTCTGTCGGATCACAACAAAGAGATAATGAAGTAAGCATATTATCATAGGCCGAATACATTGATCCGAATGCTTATCCTTTTGTTAACAACTTTTTCACAAGCCCTGAAAAAATGTCAAAGCTGGTGAATGATCCTGATTTTGAAGTCAGAATCCGTGTAATTCAGTTTCTCCACGTTATTTGGGATCACTGTGAATTTGACAGAATGAGGATTAATAAGAAGTTTAGGGGAGATCAAGAAAAAAATGAAAGTATGTTGATTGATGAAGGGGAAGAAGAATCATGGTTTTATTGGTTAAAAGGGGATTCGTTGCTTGTGTCTGCGGTAAGTATTTATTATTTGTAATTCACACTTAATGTATTCATTATTTAAACAAAGGAATACCGTTTTACTAGGCTGATGACTCGAGTCGCTTGGTACGGAAAGAAATACTGAAAGTTCTTAATATACTGAAAAGTTATCTTGAGCCAATTGTGGCAACATACAATTCTCAAACCAATGGGTTTATTCCGTCAAAGCGTCCTACCGACAGCGAGAATTTAATCCACAAGCATTACACTTTCTATCATATGATAAATAATATTGATTTTAGTAGATTAGCGGCAACTATAGATGTGGAACACTTATATCAAGAGGCATTAGAATGTGTTGATTCGAGTGTTATGGTTGGTGGCGAAGGGGATATCAGCATGGATTGCTATTAAACCGGATAAAATATGTTATGCCTTGTTATCAACAAATCTGTTGTAATAGTAACAAAAAGAATGACAGCACCTTTATCCAATAATTCATCTAACAGAATGTATAAATATTAGAATAGGTTCACACAAGATGCACTGCTGAATGCTTCTTGAGCTATGAAATAGAAATACAACTTTGGCGTGACCTCAAAGAAGGGTTTATGTCTAGCGCTTCGCAGGAGCTTTGGCATCTACACTAATATACCAAAAGCATACAACAATCCATAAGAATGAGACCAAATTTAAATTACTCAGCAAGTAATGATACAAATGTTCTGAAATTTATAATAACGTAGGACAAAAACTTGATGGTTTAATTACAACTACTTGTTACTATATGTGCCTTCGGAAAATGATCGGAAAACACACTTCCCTACGGATTTCGTGAAATGTTCAGTGACCATTTTGTCCATCCACCTCTACTCCAGTTCCAAACTATAACAAAAACCAAGATTATGCTGTGCTTTAGCATGTCCTTGTTCAGCAGCCTTTTGATACCATTCAGCAGCCTTTTGTTCATC